GCCACACCAAACATGTTCGTGTTTAAAGTGCCTCGAGATTTCTTTCTGTGTTCGCTGCAATAAGGCTAAAACAGCCACCCCACTGGAATGTCTTGATACATAAAGGTCTGCCCTGCTCCTTCCAGCCTTTTGGGGATGGAAAGCTTTTGAATCAATAGCAATTAGAATGCTCTTCTTTTCCTAATGGCCTGCCACCTGCGCTGCCAGCTTGCCTTCACTCCTATAAAACTAAAGGCCACGACGGCAGATACAGCATTTAGAAGCAGCCGCTTGGTTTATAACAGATTTAGGTCCTGTTCGTCTTACCCAGGGACCGGCTGGAGGTCTGAGTTGGAGACGGCAGCCTTGCGCCGTGCAGAAAAATACAGCCGAACAAATCTGCCGAAGCAACCTGGGATATTACTTACAAGAACGTTGCAGAGAATATTTACCTTTCTGATCTATGTTGTTGGAGAGCTTTCTTGAGAAGCGGAATTAGTTCAGTATTGATTCTGATTCAGTTACCTAAGTAACTGAGGTATGATCTTGGTTATCCCCCCCCCCCTTGCTTTTCTGGCTTGCCAGACAGGTCCAGTTACTTGGAAAGTAATTGTCAAATTGGATAGCAGCGAAGCAGCACTTAATTAACCAGAAATTGCTGAGCTCTGAATTACTTTTTGCCAGAAGGCAGAAGGGGTTGCAAGCCACGATTTGAAGCAGCGGGTAAAATGACTTCATACTTTCCCTCTGGATATTGCCACAGTGATAACAAAAGTCCCTTGGCCTTTTCAGTCAACGAGCACTTAGCAAGCGAATATATAACTTGCCCACCCTCCTGCTACTGATTGGAAGCTTATTGTATTAAGTGAGTCATTGCTGTTATTGTATAGTGGTAAACAAAAAGTAGAAAATGGCAAATGAGGTGAAGGGATGGCCTGCGGCAAAGTTAAGTGATAGCATTTAGGGAGTTGTCTTTTTTGGGTCCTCTGACGCTCCAGGCCAAACTACATGTGACAGTATCCATGGGTCCCATGCATGGGCAGCAAGGCCGTTTTAAAGCAATTTAAAAATGCTCTGAAGGCCCAGTCCTGTGGTGTGTGTGTAGCCGTTTCGGCACTTGAAAATGTGCAGGGGAGAGAGCCTGAGGCTGCCATGCTGTGGGGCCAATCAAAATCAGGCCCTCACAGCATTTTTAAGAGAAGAAGAAGAGAAGAGATTGGATTTATACCCTGCCCTTCACTACCGAAAGGTGTCTCAGAGCAGCTTACAAACTCCTTTCCCTTCCCCTCCCCACAACAGACACCCTGTGAGGTAGGTGGGGCTGAGAGAGCTCTTGACAGAAACTGCTCTTTTTTCAAGAACAGCTGTGCCAGAACTATGGCTTGCCCAAGGCCATCCAGCCAGGTGCAAGTGGAGGAGTGGGGAATCAAACCCGGTTCTCCCAGATTAGAGTCTACGCACTTAACCACTACACCAAACTGGCATTTTAAAAGTTGTTTAAAAGTGGTGGCGGCGTTCACAGGTCTGACCTACGGATGCCGTCACATCTAGTTTGACTCTTAGTGACAAGGCAATGGTGGTTGAAAGTGCCATCAAGTTGCAACCAACTTATGGCAACCCTGTAGGGTTTTCAAGGCAAGAGACATTCAGAGGTCGTCTGCCACTGCCTGCCTTTGCATAGCGTCCCTGGTATTCCTTGGTGGCTTCCCATCCAAATACTAACCACAGGACCAACCCTGCTTAGCTTCCCAGATCTGATGAGATCAGGTGAGCCAGAGCCATCCAGGTTAGGGTGACAAGGCAACGGGGAGTCCCATTGATAAGAACAAGGCCTGGATTGGATCTTTATCCAGAAGTTGTCATATGGTGGGCAAAATTCACATTTTCCTCCTTTATAAAGTATGTATGGCTCTTCTGTGTGGATAAAGATGGAGCAGGGGTGTCCAATCTATTTCAGAACTAGAGTTGGTTTTTAACTAGTATTTAGTAAAATTGCTGCAATTAATCAATGGTCTGCTGTTCGTTTTATGAAGAAATGTTCCTCTTTCTTAACACACAAGATTTATTCCTTTGAATCTGAAGAGCAAACATTATGTTAAGGGGAGCACTAATGCCTCCGAGGAAAACTTTGATAAATATTCCAATTAGGCATGTATCGGCGTAATACATTATTTATACGTCCTCTCACTTAGAAGGCGTGTTTCTGTTTGTCCCATTATTTTCACTAAAGGTTTTCCTATTGACTGAGTTTCTCTTGTTACTTAGCTTGAATTTCTCCCAATTGATTCTTCATCTGACATCAATAGTTTTATAACACAAGAAAAGCTACTTTGGCAGTAATATTAGTAAGGTTGGACAAGGTATGGAGCTCCAATGGATAGGGGTAAGTGGAGAACAGGAAAGAGTCTTAGTTGTTCTGTAATAAACCAGATAATTTGCTGCAGTTTCAAAAATTGCAAAAATAATTTGCAATTTCAAAAAGAAATCTTTTTGAGTCGTATTGAGAGAATGGTTTGTGGCCCTTAGGCACAGAGTTCAGGTGAGTCCAGCCCCTGTCTAAACAGAGCTAGCCTCCACTTGTCCCCCGGGCATCAGGACTCTGATCCCAGCTACCCTGAGGCATCAGGAAGTACCTTAGAGGTTTTTGCCACCATGCCGTTTTACTGCTTGATGGGCGAACTCAGTGCCCATGCCAAGTCCAGAGCATTTCAGACAGAGCGAGAAGAGTGAGAACAGGGATGCCACTTTCATAGGAAGTGGATCGTCCAGACGGATACAGCCCTTTGGTTCTTCACCCCCTTAACCGCACAGCACTTCGAGCCATATTTTACTGAATCCTACAGGGTCTTGATTGGGCAAGGATAGTTTAATGAAAGAAGGGCAAGTATGAAGATAGACCAAATTAAAAACATATAACAGCTAAGTTTGGAGGTACATTGAAGTTCCACTACTGGAGAAACTGGTGTCTCCCTGGTATGGCCACAGCTGCATCTATGTTGCTTTCGGAGGGAAAGGTCCCAAAGACAAGGATTCAACGCCAAATTTGTAGGTTTACTCCAGCTCAAATCACCGGAGGGTTTAGTGTGCCCACCCTCTCTAAGGAGTGGTACCCATTTTATGTACTCGCCGAAGCTTTCAAACTGCTGGGTGGGCGGCGAGCTGGGGGCAAGGCTTGGTAGCTCACACCAGCGCGGGGCTAGAACTGACAGCAGTCCTGTTCAGCTCAGATGTTTAACCAGAGGATAAATCCCCTGTGCCTCTGCTACAGTGTGCCTCTTAGTCCCCAGCACTGTGTGTGCAGGTAGGTCATTAAGACATGCAGGCCTTCACTGGCATTCTCAGCCAGAAGGGGTTCTGCAATGTGGTAGGATCCAAATTAGCGTAGCGCTTGAGAATTGGGGTTGCTTCCTAGCAACTGGTCTTAGAGCTGGCGGAGGTTGAGGTGTGACAGAGAGGAGAGGCAGGGCATTCTCTATCTTGTCGCCATCTTGTGACATTTTATCACACAGTATGGGTGGGCCTGGGGCAATCAGTTCTTGTCTTCATCCTGCCTGTTGAGCGAGCCTCAACCTAAGAACATAAGAGAAGCCAATGTTGGATCAGGCTAATGGCCCATCTAGCCCAACACTCTGTCACACAGTGGCCAAAAATACCAGGTGCCATCAGGAGGTCCACCAGCAGTGTTCCCTCTAAGCTGAGTTAGTGTGAGCCATCTCACAGTTTTTTAGCCTCCAGCTCACACATTTTTGTCTTCGCTCAGGAAGGATGGGGCTCCAGAGCAAACTCATCTATGCAGTAGCCAAATTGCTCACTCACAACTTTAATGCCAGCAGCTCAGAGAGTAGAATTTTTTTAAAAAACAGATTTTATTGGTTTCATAGAAAGATCTTACAAAGAAACGAAATGAAAAGACACAAGAAACAGAATAGATATGGCATATGTAGAGATTAGTACTTGGTTAGTGGTTGACTAATGGAATGAATTTGGGAATATTAGAACATTTCTTATTTGATTTAGTTGCTGTTAAAAAGTATTTCTGGTTGACATGTCGACTTTTGATGATGTTATTGTCTATAAGCTATTATGTTACTGTTTATAACTTGAAAACCCAATAAATATATATATATTTTTAAAAGAAACAGAATAGAAAGTAGAAGTTTTGCTCACAAGACGCCACAACTTAGAGGGAGCATTGTGCGGGACAGTAACCTTCCAGAGTGGGTGTGGCAATTTTAACCCATCTATGCAGCAGCCAAAACCGCTCGCTCACAACTTTCATGCCAGTAGCTCACAAAGTAGAATTTTTGCTCACAAGACTCCACGGCTTAGAGGGAGCATTGTCCACCAGTGGGGCCAGGATGCTAGAAGCCCTCCCACTGTCCCCCCCCCCAAGCACCAAGAATACAGTGCATCACCTGCCCCAGACTGAGAGTTCCTATCTGTACCTTGTGGCTAATAGCCACTGATGGATCTCTGCTCCATATGCTTCCCTCTTGAAGCTGTCCATGCGTCACCTCAGTTACATAACTGTGTGACCTTAACGCAATGCATTGGCCTTGCTGCAGTTGACATTCTGCTACCATCGGACATCAGAATGGCTTGTGCATTTGGTTGGCTGGCTGGGCACCTGGATGATGCCACTCTTGTGAGGTTGGAGGAGGAGATCTCAGTTAATCACTGTTTGTACAACATAGAGCTCAGGGTCAAGAGGACCATGCTGTGGATGAGTTGTTCTTCAGTTATCTAATCTCATTATGCAGGCATTGAGTTCTCAGGTGCAATAGAGGCATATAGGGAGATGAACAAAGAAAGAGAAAGTGGCTTCAAAATTAAATATAAGTGACAGGATCCCCTTCCACCATCTCACCAAGAAGTTCCTTTTTAAAAATACACTCTCTGGGCTTCGTGTGCCAAAGCGGCAGTAGGAGTAGGTTTTTTAAATGCATGCCTCCACCTATTTCCTTTCCCCCAAATTCCGCTATCTAACATCAGTTCTTTTCTCTCTCTTTTTTCCCCGATAGCGATAACCTGCTAAGGAGAGCTGCGTGCCAAGAAGCCCAGGTAATACCATTTAACAAGATCAAATTAGATTAAAATCCCCTTCTTATCTCACTTGTGCAGGATTCTGGAGATTCTCCCAGCAGGTCTCTGGGACGTGACTAGCCTGACAATGGTGGCTGTCTGTATTCTTTTGCTAAAGAGACCATAAGGCGTGCATGCTTCTTCCTGCAGGGCCTGTGCTTTGCACCTAATTATACTTCAGACTCAGTGCCATTACAAATTATTCAGGAGCATCATGAAGATAATATTTTTATTATTATTCTGTCAGTTCTGGAAGCTTAGTTACCTGTATGACTTCTGTTAGGTAAAGTTTTAGGTGGAAGAGACGAGACTGGCCGCGGTTCTTGAGATTGAAATTCCCCATTTCATCAACAGACAGACCAGTGAGCACTTGGAGTGTGGCTTTTGTGTTCTCCTTGGACCTGGTATTCCAGTTTGTGCACAAAAGAAGGAAAAGGGTTCTACAAGCAAGGAAAAAAATAGCCTTTATAATAAAAACTGGTTTGTAAATTATCGTTGTTTTCTTGCTCTGTCGCAGTGTTCCTCCTCCCTCCCCCATCCTTGTTAGAGGTTCACTCCCCTTTAATTTTTGGACCATTAACTTTACTGTATCCCAAATGCTCTGAAAGTCTGGCCGTTCTGAACACTTTAAATACATTCCTCTGATCAGTCAAAGAAAAAAGGTTCAAGATAATGGACATTTTGGGAGTATTTGAAATATTTGACTATCAGTACCAAACATAGCTATCCTCAAGGCTCAGGAATGCGATGTGAAATATACATCGACAGTAGCACGTAAATAAAGTGCAGGTTTGTAGAAAAGCCACTTGGGAACTTAGTCTTTGGGATCCTTTGTGAAATCTGTGTTTCTTGTATGGTACTGGACTGTACACCTTATATTTTGACAGATGAGAAGGCAACATTTTTTTTAAAAAAGCCCGGTTTGTTACATTCCTGAAAGTATACTGCACTGAATCTCTTTCTCCATGCCCCCTTTTTCTAGAGTTCTTTTTCAAATAAAATGAAACATAAGTTTCGGTCTTTTTATCTTTTTTGCCATTAAGTCACAGCTGACTTATGGCAACTCTGTAGGGTTTTCAAGGCAAGAGAAGTTCAGAGGCAGTTCGCAGTTGCCTGCCTCCGCGTCACAACCCTGATATTCCTTGGAGGTCTTCTATCCAAATTCTAGCCAGAACTGACCAGTGTTCAAGCTGAGTTAGTGTGAGCTAGCTCACAGTTTTCTAGCCTCTGGCTCACAGATTTTTGTCTCAGCTCAGGAGGGATGGCTCCAAACAAACTAATTTATGCAGTAGCCAAATCACTTGCTCACAAGTTTAATGCCAGTAGCTCACAAAGTAGATTTTTTGCTCACAAGACTCCACAGCTTAAAGGGTACATTGAAGCTGACCCTGCTTAGCTTCAAAGATCAGGCTAGCCTCGGCTATCTAGGGACAGGGCTTGGTCTTGTGACCAAGATCAAAACCTCAGAGCCAAAATCATGACAACTTAATGCCTTGTCCACGAGGGTATATTTATCAGTCAGTGTATGCAAATAGAAGCATAACTAGGTGTTTTGCCGCCTGAGGCATCTGGACCTTTTGACTGACTGACTCATCTGTGAGGTGGTCAGTCCCACAGTGATGCCGGCTGGTGTCGCTTCCGATTCGTCAGCCTTACACCAAGACCTAAGGGAGAGATTGGGGAGGGACTATAACAGAGGGACAGGGAAGGGGTGTCTCCTTCCTCTCAGCCACAGCTCATGACACTGGTATGGTCGGAGGAGCAGAGCCTCCTCTGTGAGACACTGAAGGAGAACAGGTGAGGAGGGCCTGGAGGGTCCCTTCCAACTCTATGATTCTAGGGCATCCTCAGCCAAGCAGCAGAGAGGGCTTCTAGGGCAGCAGTGGCCACCAGCGTTCGGGGCGGTCAACAGCAGTGCAGCTCTTGACACCTACCAGTACGGATGCCCGTTTCACCCTCGTCCTTCAATAACTCCTCATGGGAAAAGGCACCAGCGGAGAATGTGACCCCTCCAGCCACCGCTGCTTGGTGTTGGAGGAGCTCCGCGCTCCTTTTTCTGAGCTTCTCCCAGGGCTGCTGCCTGGTTCTGCCACACACCGTTGCAAACATGGCACCTTCGTCGGGAGATCTCTTTCACGGTGAAGCGCGTCGTCACGAATAGAACACCCCAGTCTTGTCTCTTCACCCGTCCTTGCATCTCCTCCTGTTGTCAGTGGACATGGGTCACACATTCGATTGGAATTCATGACCTACAGAGGAATGGAGTGCTGTCAGGAGGTCGGTGGGGTGCGAAATTACTGACCGAGATAATCTGGTGCCTTTTATGTTATGGTGGGTGGAAAGTGCTGTCAGGTCACTGCCAATGTACGGTGGCCTCCTGGAGTTTTCAAGGCAAGTGAAAAACAGCAGTGGTTTGCCATTGCCTGCCTCTGCATAGCAACCCTGGGCTTCATGGTGGTCTCCCATCTGAGTACTAACCGGAGCCTAACCTGCTTAGCTTCCAAAATCTGATGAGGCTGGGCTAGCCTAGGCCATCCAGGTCAGGGCTTTAAGAACATAAGAGAAGCCAATGTTGGATCAGGCCAATGGCCCATCTAGTCCAACACTCTGTATCACACAGTGGCCAAAAATACCAGGTGCCATCAGGAGGTCCCCCAGTGGGGCCAGGGAACTAGGAGCCCTCCCATTGTTGCCCCCCCCCCCCAAGCACCAAGAATACAGAGCATCACTTGCCCCAGACTGAAAGTTCCTATCTATGCCTTGTGGCTAATAGCCACTGATGGACCTCTGCTCCATATGTTTATCCAGTTCCCTCTTGAATCTGTCCATGCTTTGTGTTAGAGGGGGAGAACTTTAGTAGAAGGAAGTATTATTATTATTAATTACTGTTTACTGAACTTATGAATCGCCCACCCTGCAAGCAGGCTCTGGGTGATTTACAATTTCCTAAACCTTTAAAGGTCAAAGAAGACGAGGACGACAAAGGATGAGATGGTTAGACAGTGTCATAGATGCAACGAACATGAAATTGAGCAAACTTCAGAGGACGGCGGAAGACAGGAAGGCCTGGCGTGATCTGGTCCATGGGGTCACGAAGAGTTGGACTCGACTGTGCGACTGAACAACAACAAACCTTTAAAACACAATCAATAAATAAGTAAATTTGACCAACAGTAAATCAATAACTTAAAATCAATCCAAAGATGGTGATATAATAATCCCCCTTTGCTGGCCATATCGCTGTCCCGCAGGGCAGGGCAAGTGAGGGCCATAGAAGGGGGGGGGTTCCGGCCTTAAGCCTCCCGTTGCTGCCCTCAGCTAAAAGCCTGGTGGAACATCTCTGCCTTACAGGCAGTAATGGCCAGACATGAAATATATTTTAAAAGGTGATCAGGAGGGTTTTTGTTCTTGTTTAGGGTTAGTCGGTGATTACAGAGGTTCACAGTGTTCTCCCCCTCCCAAAGATGGTGTATATGAGAATAAATCCACCCACCAAAAAACCCTCAATTCTGCTGAAAGTTTAATTTGTAGGACAGGCAGGTTGTTTGTTCAAAGCAAACAAATATATTGCTCCCCCTACCAAGTAAATAATTAGATGTTTCTAGCAGCTGTTAACAGATCAGAGAGTTATAAATGCAGAGAGTCATTTCCCCTGATTTCCCTCAAGAATGCAAAAGTAATAGAATTAATCACTGACTTTTCCCATCTGCTCTTCAAATAATATGCCAGTTTGATTTCCTCTGTCCTTTGCCCCCCTGAATCACTGGCTCACCTACCTTCTGCTGCCGTTTTCCTGATGCGGTAAAATAAATAGAATTTAATGTTCAGCTTTGTTCTAATGCGTTTTAAATTCTGTGCTCCAATAATCTCAGTGATGTTGATAATTGCTGTGAATTTGGAGAACTGCAAAGCTCTCTTAATACGATTGTTTCAGCTGCCTCATTCAAACCTCATCACCAAATGCGCTAAGAATACTGTTTATTACTATTAATAGTAGTAATTGTATGAGGTTTGCCTTTCCTACTTGGTTTATATCAGCATGAGGCAAATCTTTGTTGATGGGTCACAGCGGAGCAAACTGCCAATGAAGAGGGCCTGCATTATTTGCTGTGAAATTGCATGTGCGCGAGGTCCATACATGGTTCTTTGCAAGTTAGTGTGCAGATGTTCAGTACCACATGCCTTCAGTTTAGAGGCTGGCAGCCATAATGTACAACACAAAGCTCAGCTGGGCATCTTTTTAGACCAGGGATCCCCAGCCCATAGCCAGGATGTTGTGGCCTTGTGGGGCAAAAAAAATTCTTGTGGGGCTGCCATTATTTTTTTGTCAGATCCACTCCACCCCCCAAGCCTGACCGCGGGCACCACCCCTCTCCCTCCCCTCCTGCAAGATTTAAAAGGCCCTTCAGCTGATTGGCAGGGAGCATGTGGTCCACCAATCAGCTGGAGGGCCCTTTAAATCTTGCTGGAGGGAGGGAGAGGGGTGCAGGCCATCCCACACTAATTATCAAAAGCATTTAAAGGATCCCTTTAAATGCTTTTGAGAAGAAGTGGGGGAGACCATGCGCCCCCCCCCCCGTTTCTTCTCAAAAAATCTCATGGGGCTGGCCCTTTAAGGAAGGGGGCGGAGCAACCAATAGCCCCACTGTAGCTACAGGCCAGGTGATGGCTTTAGGTGCCATGGCGCCTGCTAGCATTTTCCTGCCCCCAACCAAATATTTGTAGGGAGTGGGTGGAGCCTTTGCCAGGGGGGGGGTTACTCAGCAAGGCTTCTGATTGGCCACTGGAGATTTGATTGTGCAGATTTTTTTAAAATATTGCTTTGGCAGCAGCTGCCACCACAGCACAAGAGTATTCATTGTGTGACTGGGAGTAGGCTGTGGCAGCCATTTTGTGGCTGTGGCCACCACACACAGCCAGAATTCCAAAGATGCCCTCAGGCTCAAAAAGGTTGGTAGCCCCTGTTTCAGACCTTAAAAGATTAAGAAGGCCTTAATAGCTATGGCCAATGGCGTGTCTCCACCCATTCATAGACTTTATGGAGTAGGACGTTCTTGTTCCCTCTCCTCCTGCGGGCCCCTGGGCCACCTGAAATTTTGTTCCTGAGAGTCAATAGAGCATCAGAAATGATGCAGGGGGCAATGTGGGGATCTTCCCAAAGTACGAGTCACAAAGTGGGGGAGAGATCATGCTTCAGTGGTGGAACATCTGCTTGGCATGCGGAAGGTCCCAGATTCAGTCCCCTCCCCGGCATCTCCAGTTAAAAGGACCAGGTTGTAGGTGACGTGAAAGACCTCTGCCTGAGATCCCGGAGAGCTGCTGCCAGACTGAGTAGACAATACTGACCTTGATGGACGGATGGTCTGATTCAGTATGAGGCAGGTTCCTCTGTTCATCTGTGCATTGAAGGATGGAATCAGTGGAAATTGCCATTTCCCCCCCCCCCTCCACAAACAGAGATGCCATTTCAGTGGAGGACGCACTAACTTGGGAAGGGGCAGAATAAAGCAACTTTTGTCCCCCCATGTTTCTACTCATGGAGAAAGAAAGGGGGGGGCTCAGTAACTAACAAAATATTAAAACAGGGGTCCCCAAAGTCATGCTTGTGGGTGCCCTGCTGCTGGGCGATACCTTTTCTGGTGCCCGAACACTTTTAGAAAGTGGGAGGGGCTAAGTGGAGGGCTTGCCCAGCTGGGCTTCTGATGGACGAGTGCCAACTGAAAAGCATCCTGTTGAGCAGAGCTTCTTCAAGTGTTGAAGAGTTACTGTTAGAGTTCTATCAATAGCCTCTCTCCCTGACATTTTCTGCTTGGCTCCACCTCCTGTGGCGGCCATTTTGTAGCTGTGCCCCCCCACCCTGTGTCAGAATTCCAGAGGTGCCCGCAGGTTCAAAAAGGTTGGGAACCCCTGTACTAAAGCACTCTTGGTGTCATATTTCAATAGAAAAAAAAACCCCAGGAGAAATACCATCTTCTACCAGAAAATAATTCATTTTCTCTGCATTTTTAGGTATTTGGTGATGAGATTATTCTTCCGCATGAGCAGATAAAGAAAGCAACGGTATTTCTCAACCCTGCAGCTTGTAAAGGGTAAGATTCCCTACCATAGTCCCCTTTCCAGCCCCCTTGCTTCTTTTCTTCCTACCTTTTGTTGTGTGGGGGCAGTCACTTGTTTGGGTCCAAGTCTTTACTGCCTATCATCTCCAGATCTAGTATTAGATAATGCTTGTTCTGGAGAATGTAGGCCATGAAACTCTGATGCATAGACTGTGTGCATACATTTTTCTTATGTTGTTTGCTTCCTGGGTAAGAAACCACCAAAAAAAGTGTGTAATGACTGCATTTATTACATGAGCTCCAAATTATGATTCTCCTTTTTGGGCTAGATTCTGCATTAAGATTTTCAGTGCTTCCAAATGGAGACCTTTGCTTGTCGAGTACGCCGATTTATCTCAAACCACACAGGACTGCGCTGATCCCCTGTAGCGGGAAGCAGTGTAACTGAAATAAGGATTTGTCCAAACAGAGTTCCATAAACCCCATGCAAACATTTGCTATTTTCCAGATATTAGTGGCCGTTTAATGCTAAATCATGCAGGAAGCAGCGCCAGAAGCTGTTATCTGGACATAGCTTTTACCTTGTCCTTTTGTTCTGCTTTCTATCCGCAAGGCAAATAGCAGCTTTTGCGCAAATTGGCCATTTTGAGAGCAAATATTTAGCTTAACCAGCACTGATTTCGAAGTGTAACAGGGGTGTTTTATATGTAGCCCAAGTTTAACATTCTGAGTTTAATGCCGTTCCCCCCCCCCCCCTTAGGCTTGCCTCTGTGTGCGTTGCCTTGGACCAAAGGTTATGGCCTCTCTCTGTAACATCATAGGCCTGCACGGTGGTGAGGGAAATCTTTTTAAGTGCTTTGGCAGCTGTCATTTCAAATGTAGCTCCTGATAAGGCTTCATATCCCGTAAGTTACATCTGGCCAGAGCGTCTTCGTCATGCCCTTCCAACATCTGTCTCACATTCATGCTACTAAGACTTCGTTTTCATAATGAGTTTGTGTGTGTCTTTAGGTAAGGGATTATGTGATGGAATGCTCCTCCATTGGGGCAGAAAGAAGAAATTGCTTCACATAGAAACCTAAATGTCGGAGAGAAAAGCATCCTAACCTTCTGCCTGGTACATTAGTTTTCTAAGTGAATGGACCCCCCAACATGCACTGCTATCTGAAGTGGTACAGTCCCAAAACATGGACCCCCAACATGCACTGGTATCTGAAGTGGTACAGTCCCACAACAGGTTTACCATCTCTTCTGGTCATTGCAAGACTGAAGAAACAGGAGCTAGGAGGGAAAGGGCTGTGTTCCCAGTGGCTCTCATTCAAGCTGGGAGATACAGTTGAGAGGCGACAAACATTTATATCTTGCTCTAGGATGAGATACTAAAAGCAGAGGTGGGCAGGTTGGTGTCCCTGCATGTGCTTTCTCCCATATCAACAGATGGCTTCTATGAATCCCCATGTGAATAAGGGGAGTGTTATACACAGTAAGGTAGGGGTGTTGAACTCGTTTGTTATGAGGGCCGGATCTGACATAAAAGAGATCTTGTTGGGCTGGGCCATGTGTGCCATAAAATGTAATGCCAGGTAGTGGAGATATAAACTTTATAAAGGACACAATTTTTTTTTAACTTTAATAAAACATGCTTAAAACATTAGCACTCTTGCAATATTTTGTTGAGCGGTGGCTCAAGTGGTTAAGACGCTGAACTGCAGGCTGTGGAAGGTCGGTAGTTCAGCAGTTCAAGACCCGGGTGCCGCATGATGGAGTGAGCTCCCATCTCTAGTTCCAGCTCCTGCCAACCTAGCAGTTCGAAAGCAAGAAATTGCAAGTAAATAAATAGATACCACTTCAGTGGGAAGGTAACAGTGTTCCGTGCGCCTTGGTGTTTAGTCATGCCGGCCACATGACCACGGAAATGTCTTCAGACAGCGCTGGCTCTTCGGCTTTGAAACGGAGATGAGCACCACAACCCTAGAGTCGGATTCGACTGGCTTTCGAGTAAGGGAACCTTTACCTTTACTTTTTAATATTTTGTTTATTTAACAGTCTCTGATAACTAACACCTCTTGCTCTGAATTATTGCATCAAAATGTCTGTGCTGTAGGAATCTTGAGTATTCTGTTTAGGTGTGTATTTGTAAGCTGCAAACCTACTTTTGATTTATCGACATTCATTACAGAAATCTCATGCTCAGTGCTCTGAGCCTAGGACCCAGGGGAAAACATGAAATGGCTGGGCAGTGTGAGCTTTTGTACATAACTTGATTCGTGTGCTGGTCAAGAACATGAGAAGGCATCCTGACACAGACCGAGGGCTGTGTGTTTGTCTACAAAACTATAGTCTTCCACAGAGAAATAACTACAACTCCTATGAGGCAGTGCAAGAATAGAGAGACAGCCATGTATACTGGTCCGTATCAGCTTACTATCTGGGAAGTCTAGGCTCAAAATTCCCAGCCTACAAAGGTAATGTGCTGGGTGAACTTGGTCTGGACACAAACTCTCAGCCTAATCCACCTCACTGGCTTGTTGTTATTCCTCATCTAAATAGTTCACATTGCTTTCCTACTGAGAGGGACTGGATCATGAGGGCACAAATACACTGAAAAAAAGGAGGGGAACCCTGTTGTACCCAGAAGAGCCCTGGCATAATGAGCCCAACAAAACGCACACTGTAGCAAGGCACACAAATGCTCATACTTTGAATAAAACTTTGTTGGTCTTAAAGGTGCTTTGTATTTCTCCCGAGCGATTGAGGCAGATGAGCAAATCAAGGCAGGAGGAAGGGGAGGGGCCTCAGCCAATGGAGGGGAAGAAAGACTTGCCTTTGTCTCCTGTGTGATTGAGGCAACCTGGCCAGGAAGCAAGCTCTGGCTCTTTCTCTCCCTCCCCCTGGGAGGAGGACGGGGAGGAGCCTCAGCCAGTGCAGGGAACTGAACCTTGCCTATATATCTCTCCTGTACAATTGGGTGAGTCTGGTAAAGCAAGCTGCAACACAGCAGCAGCAGAACTGGAGAAAGAAGCAGGAGACAGCCAGTTCCTTGCGGGCCAGATAGGAGCCCTCTGAGGGCCTGATCTGGCCTGCGGACTGCATGTTTGACACCCCTGCAATAAGGCTTTCCAATGCCTCTTGGAGATTTCTTCCCCCTTTTGCATGTGCTATGTGTGTCCTACTGGTCAGCATTGATTATTTAGTGAGCCTGCACTGAAAACTGTGTATCAAACTTTTTTTATATATAAAGTCAACGTCCAACAAACTACACATCTTTGGAAAGCGTTCTTTTATTTAAAGCCTGGTTTCTATTCTCTGGGCACTATAAATGATTTTTTACAGAATAATTTATAATTAATAGCATGGCTGTTTATTATGCAGTAGAGGCATAAAAATGTATGAGACCATTACCAAAACAAGGTCAGGTAAAGTTTTTTTTTTTTTTGTAATGTTACTGAATAATAAAACAAGTAATATATATTTCCCCTTTAAAAGGAGAATGGAGGGCTAGTATTCCATATCTCATTAGCCGGGAAATAGCACATAATTTGCTCGGAGGCTTATTTTGGGTTTTTGTGGGGAAGGGAGTTCATGAAGCTTCCGGAGGCGGCTGAAAGAAAGCAGTGTAATAAAGGATGGCCGAAGAAGTTGGTAATGCTCAACAAAACCAAACTTCTTGTGGTGGCTGGAAGATGGAACCTGCTGTAAAATTGTGGGTTTAATTATGTTTCTGAGGAAATAAGCCTCGTTAAACCCAGCGTATCTTGTGAGTAAATTTGCCTCAAAACTGTACTGTTAAAAACATCTACTTCAGAATACATGGTTTGATTATAGCAATGTAAGAGAAACAGAGGTACAGATATAATTCCTTTTCTGTAGTGATGAGAGCAGTTTCCCCCTTTGTTACCCTCCAAGGACATGGGGAAGGGGGGATGTCTACACATCACAGAGTTGTTCCCCAGATTGGACCAAAGGCTCTGTGGACAATGCCTTGTAAGATTTGCTGTGTCTGTAAGTTCAGCCACATTGAAGCAGTGTTTGTTCCGGTTAATTGTCTCTTCCCCCCCCCCCCGCAATTGTTCAGAGGAGCCCCTCCCTAGATCCTCTGGGGCCCATCCAAGTGCACTTTTGCATGGAGCTACCAAGTCTGCGGTGGCTCAAGTGGTTAAGACGCTGAACTGCAGGCTGCGGAAGGTCTGTAGTTCAGCAGTTCAAGACCCGGGTGCCGCATGACGGAGTAAGCTCCCGTCTCTAGTTCCAGCTCCTGCCAACCTAGCAGTTCGAAAGCAAGAAATTGCAAGTAGATAAATAGGGACCCCTTCGGTGGGAAGGTAACAGCGTTCTGTGCGCCTTGGTGTTTAGTCATGCCGGCCACATGACCACGGAAACGTCTTCGGACAGTGGTGGCTCTACGGCTTTGAAACGGAGATGAGCACCGCAACCCTAGAGTCAGACTTGACTGGCTTTCGAGCAAGGGAACCTTTACCTTTACCTTTACCAAGTCTGTGCTCATCCAATTCATCTGATTCTTTGAAGTTGCGTTTCCCCTACCCAACTGCATGGCATAACCATCATCTCCCACTTCCTCAACATAAGCCCGCGTATTATGGTAGCACATATATTTTTCTTTATTGCCACATAGGATCATGGTTCAGAAGAACCTTCTGAACTTCCAGTTCACCAGTCAAAAGCAGAACAGAAAGTACAAGTTTTAGTGTGGGTGGTCTAAAATGAGCCCTGAGCCTTGAGCCTACAGTAACTCCAGGTGATGGCAATGAGCTGCCTTTGGCTCTCTGAAGAGCAATGGCAAGACAACTGTGTGTCCTCACAACAGCGCTCTTCAGGGCATCTCACTTTTGCAATTAAGCCTCGACTCAGGGGCTCGGTGTGCCTTTCGCCCCTGCACCCACGCTGATTTGCTTCAGCCACGAGGTAGGCAGGCTTCATATCTTAACCACTAAGTACTGGATACCGATGACTCATTCTGCACACACAAGTTAATGCCTCCCAAATCACCACCTTTATTCCAGTAAGTCCATAGCTCTTTGCTTTGGTTCCCAGTCCTGCTAGAAATTGCTGTGTTGCGTCGACAGACACGTAGAACAGCTTCGTTTTAGTTATGAACACGATTTAGTTATGAACACGATTTTTCTTTTTTCCTTTTAAATTGCTGTGTGTTAGCCAAAAAATTGTTTTTAAAAATTCAAGTGACCATTTTAATTTTAATTTCTAGCAAAGCCAGAAGCCTTTTTGAAAAGAATGCAGCCCCGATTCTACACTTGTCTGGGCTGGATGTGACTGTTGTAAAGGTAAGGTGCTGAGAAAGCGACTTGTACTTGGTCCGCCTAGCAGATGTTTTCCCCTTTCCACTAGATGTTGGTCAGGAGTATAAATGCCAAAAGCTGAGAGCTTATATTTATTTCAGATAAATGCCAAAGCCAAGAGTTTGTGTTTATTTCCGGTGTGTTTTTTTTTTTAAAGACAGCTTCACTTTTATAAGTTGGTTTTATGACTTTCCACTGTTGGTTTTCCCCCAGCAAGGTGATGTGGGGATTGTGGGCTCCTGCATGGTGCAAAATGTATGGCCTTTGGAGCATCAGCCGCTAATGCATTTAAGCAGTCAGCGGGGGATGCTCACTGTGCTGGAGAAAGTGATGTTCTGATGCATGAGAGATCGCAAAATGCCACAGAGCGCTGGAGATTAATTAAGAGCAGCTTTGCACACCTTAATGGTTCCTCAGATAGGGAAAGGCTCCGCTTGACTGATGGGAATATTAAACATAAAGAAAGAATGGACAGAGGAAGAATACACTTGAGTGGATTGAGCTGACGGAGATTACATTGTATTAGCTGTCCAACATGTATTGTGGTGTCTTTCGGCAATAAAGGATGCCCTGTCTGTCTCCCCTTGTAGGAAAAGAGGACATTCAGCTCAGCTCTGGGCTCCCGTGGTAGTGGTGGTAGAAAATGTCATCAAGTCACAGCTGACTTCTGGTGAATCCCGTAGGGTTTTCAAGGTGTTGTGTTTTGCCATTGCCTGCCTCTGTGTCACAACCCTGGAGTTCCTTGTTGGTCTCCCATCCAGAGTTGACCCTGCTTAGCTTCCGGAACTGAACGAGATCAGGCTGGCTAGCCTGTGCCATCCAGGCAAACTGGGCTAATAAGTTCTTCCCGAGGAGTCAGGAGTCAGGAACTCTTTCTAGATTTCCAGGCATCTTCGCACCTTGCTTGAGGAAAGGCAGGACTTTTTCATCGTTTCTTTAAGAGACTGAAGATGTGTCCGAGAAACAAGCAGATTATGAGACCAGAAGGGGTTTAAGGCCCACCTGATGACGGGAAGCTGGAGGCTGTCTCTTTCCTTATGCCTTGCTTATCTGGGCTAATTTACAAGGCATGAGGCGATGACCACTGAGTATTGCCTGCAGTGCTGCACAGGGAACCCCAGTTACCCTGCCATCTTAATGTATGCAGGGGGCACTTAGCCTTCCAGTAATCACCATTCATTACAGAAATAGACACAGGAAGCCTGGCAGAACTCTTGGCCTGTGTTCCTGTCTTCCAGCTTGGGGACTGCACAGCTAGAAATGGCCACTGTGACCTCGCTTTATTATTGACTAGCAGTAAAGCCCGTTGTGAAAGCAATACAACGAGATCTAGAAAGAGGCTCTGGGGCAGTGCTCTGGCTTTGGGCAAACAGTGTCAATTTGCTGTGGTGACCTCAGCAGGGTATAATGACAGAGTCCACTGTTTTCTCCAGAGGAACTGATCTCTGCTACCTGAAGAGCAGTTGTAATTGTGAGTAATCTGTAGCCCTCACCTGGAGATTGGCAACAATTGTTACCCAGGACAAAATGGCTGCTTTGGAGGGTGGAGTCTATGGCATTCTACCTGTCTGAGGTCCCACCCCTCTGCAAACCCCACCCTCTCCAGGCTCCACCCCTCAAATCCCCAGGAATTTGTCAGCATGTAGTTGGCAACCCCATCTCCTTCCCAGCTAGCCACCAACCTACCATTATCTGCCCCTTTGACTTCAGCTGACTTCTGCCCTCCCTTCTGCAGAGCAGTTGTAATACTGAGTGCTCTCCAGCCCTCACCTGGAGATTGGCAACAATGGTTCCCTATGTGAGACTGACTGGTTTGGAGGGTGGAGTCTATGGCAGTGTACCTGTCTGAGGTCCCACCCCTCCTCAAACCTCACCCTCTTCAGGCTCCATCCCTCAAGTCTCCAGGAATTTCCCATCTGGAGTTGGCAACCCTATCAGGATTGGCCCCAATGTGTTTTCTCCCAAAGGCCAAAGTAGGTGACAGGACCAAGCTTAGTTGCCTACCAACAGGCACTGAGGGGAATGTAGGGTTGCCAGCTCTAAGGAGGGAAATACCTGGAGGTTTGGGGGGTGGATTCTGTAGAGGGCCGGGCGACGGAGGCATCGGCCTTCTGTCGCCCGCCTTGCCCCCCCAATCTCGGCCCGGGCACCCGCGGCTCCCACCAGCGGCCGCCCGACTCCAGACTCCCCCGCGGCCACTCCAGCCAGGCGACGGAGGCATCGGC